TGCTGGGAAGATTCCGACCGGTTTCAACGCCGATCTGCAACTAACGGCGAGCAAGCTGATGGAGGAAGGACATCAAATCGACATTTTTGGAGGTGTACAAATGAATACAGGCGCCATGGTGATGGAGCGATATCAAATCGCACAAATTGGAACTTTATCGATGCCAACGCCAGATTCAAGATCCAATCGAAATACTTCTCCGTCCAAATTTCTAAAGCCAAAAACTTTCAAATCTCTGAAGAAGGAAGGAGGAAGGCCTATCGATTTTGGATAAACAGGAATACACTTCTCTGGATCTGTTCGTGTTTTGATATTATCCTTCTAAAACCAGCTCTCTCCAGATGGGTTCAGACCATAAAGGAAGGTAACCGTGAAATCCAATTTTCCTTTGCTTCAAATTCGTTTGGGTTCTTTGTTCAGATTACAGAGCTGAGGCAAGAAGGCTTTACCTCTATTTTTGTTCCTGAGGGTTCCAATAGTTATGGTTTTAGATTATTTCTAGCTCAACTTAGATCTGCAAATTCATTGTTTGAAGATAGTTATGGTGAATTGTGGTTAGATGAATCAAGAAATTTCCAGAGCAATCTCTTGAACCATTTTGGGCCTGAGGAACCTGCAACACAGACTATTTCACAAGTTCTTTTTAATGAGGACATCTCTTGTTATCTGAATCACTTGGATACAGTCGTTTGTAAGTCTCAAACAATTGACACTGCCACTCCTTTCAATGGAATGGCTAAATCTCATTTAAGCTCAGGATCAAAAGGTGGGGAAACTAGTAGTAGTTCCAAAGTTGCATCTGGTTCAACTGTCCTTAGGCTCTCTTGTTCTTCTGAAGATAAAACAGTTGCTGGATCTATCTCTAACACAGCAGGTCAGCCCTAACATCCAAGTCTGTGTGTTGCTACCTCAAGTAAGGAGGGTCCCTGCTGTGTTACTCATTCTTCAGATGTTGTCCACCCTTCGTTTATAACAAATCCTGCCTACCCTCCAGTTGTTATCCAGAAAGATGTTCACTCAACTTTGAAACCAATGGCAATTAGTGCAGAGCCTAATCAACCAAACCTGTCCCAAGCATTTAGGGTACTAAATGATCAAGCAGAACCTTTTAAACCAACCACAACTTTGTCTCAAACCCAATCAAACAAATGGGGTGTTCCATCTAAATCCCTTAGAGAGTTGAAGGCATCAACATTGAAAATGAATGAGGTACCAAATAAGAATACAGTTGTTGGTTCTCAACCACTTAGTCTCATGGATATGGACATGGTGATAAAGCGTTCTATGCCAATCAGCCTTATGGATATGCCATTGTGGGGGAGCACTCGAGAGGAGGACACATACATTGGAAAGGAACAAATTATCCAAGAAGAAGGTGGGGAAGATGGGGAAGTTGATGTTGTTCAGCCACTAGAGAAAGTTCAGAAACTGCCATTTGGGGAGCACAATACGGAAGCCAATTTTGACCAAGATGAAGCAACGATTGAGGTCGACCAACACCACCACGATGATGTTCATATTGTGGATGACTTCAATCTTAAGGGAGGTGGCAAAGGAAAGAAGAAGAAAAAGAAAAAGAATAACACTTTGAACACTGGGCAGCATTTTAACGGCAAACAACACAACAACAAGAAATGAATAAGTTGTTCCTCCCTTGATTTGATTACGTCTTCATATTCTTGATTAGATTGTGGTTCATGATGTTTCGATGCATTTTCTTCAGAGGTTTAGACTTTTGACTTTGATGTTTTTAGTTTATGCTATTTGGGATTCGTTGGGCTCTTGTCAGGGATTAGCCCGCCCCCTCTTTTATGTACTTTTATTAGCGTTTATTTATAAATAAGATAGGGTTTACCTGGCCCTGTCACACCCTCGGGTGTTGTTTCCAGGCTAATATATATATATATTTTTTTTGTTTTTTTTTATTTTTAATGATCTTTATTGATAAGGAAAAGAGTTACCATCTCGAGATAAAAAATACACATTCTAAAGCTCAGAAAGAAGAAGAAGCCTTTTTTTCTTTCCTCCAAAATTTACCAATCTCCCAAGCGTCAAAGTCTTTGTCATGAATTAGCCATTTCTTTTGTCGGTGAGTCCATGCCCAAGCCTGAATAAGCTTCCCAATCTGTTGGATAACTGTACGTGAGTTCATTCTGTTTCCATCATAAATAAAGGCGTTGCGAGCTTTCCATAATTTCCATGCGATAATTCCTGGGAGTATAATCTTAAGTGCTCCTTTGAAAGTTTTCAAGTTACCTCTTACCCACCATGAGATGGCATGTTGGCGAAGTAAGAGGTTTGACGTGAGCATGGGAGCATCAGCCATGCCTGCGAAATAGTTCCAAACAGTTTTGCTCTCTTTGCAGTTGAGGAGGCAGTGATCCAAGTCTTCTTCAGAGTTAAAGCAAAAACTGCAGCGACTAGGAAGTGCAAGGTGGAATCTTCGAAGGTTTGTAGGGAAAGGAAGGCAGTTATTGAAGATCTTCCATTGGAAAAAACGAAGCTTTGGGATTTGCGCTTTGTGCCAGATAAATTTGGTTGAGAGAAGTGCAGGTAGATGATCCTCAGTGGCTCTATACGCTTGCTTGAGAGAGAACTGACCGTTATTCCAGAGGGCCTGCCCGTTGTTCCTTTGTGTGTGAGAAATGCCCAGAGAGTGAATTCTACATATTCGTTTCCA